AAAAAAGAACAAAAGTATCTACGAGCCCCAAAAATCCATCGTGATCTTTCAGTGTCAGTGTGTCGGTGGTTTGCCACAGTAATGCTGAGCTCTGAGCTCGGCCAAGGCAAGGGCCAAAGAACATTAAGAGTTATAGTCTTTGGCAAGGGCTGAGGGGGCCCGAGGGGGGCCGCAAGTGGGAGGGGGTGCAGGGGCGGCGACGAGTATGACCGCAATTTTCGACTTTACCGACCGGGCCCATCCTTTACCGGTAAGGCAATGTACTTCACTGATATATATTGTCGAGTGTTTCGCTGCCTTGCTCACGCAGGGCTGCCGCCAATCATCCTCTTTACTTTCGTTTTATGTTGCTTGTTTTCTTGTCGCTGAACATGACCGCATATTCACGACGGCGTCAAGACAGAATGGTAAACTACTGCTCTGCTGCATTGCTGTGTGCATACAGTAGAGCATATCTATACATGCAGAGCGAGGCCGTGAAAACTGAGATCCTCAATTCTTGTTATCCCATTAAATCCCAACGGCAATAGGAAGCGAGCTTATCTTTCCCTTTGGGCGCAGTCTTCTTTTTCCACATCGTGTCACTGCAAATAACTAACAACAGTGCCACTCCCTGTTGTGCGTCGGATAGCGTCTGTATGGTGGTCATGGATGAAAAAAAGGTGAGACTTGGAGCGACCCGTTCTCGCTGGCTGGTTCAACATCCTTAATGACGTGCACGTCGTCCGCACAACGATCGCCGCTGTCCGGGGTGGCACTTTCTTTTCGCGGTACCATTGTGCCGGGTCCGCCCGGATAAGGTCTTTGCGCAAAAGATAAGCAGTTTCGCATGGCGCGGAGGTACCAGCGTGTGGCTTCTGTTCCCCCCCCCCTGTCATGGCGTCCAACACTCTGGATGAATGTAGAGCGCACGCTGTCGTCCTACCTCCGGTTTGGCTCTAGGTCCCTTGCGCGCAAGCAGAAACTTCTGCACCCAGGCGAAGAGGCAGAAAAGCAGAAAGGAATAACGTGTGTGTGCTATAGCCTGAGCCCACCAGTACGCGTTCAACGGATGACAAAACCTCTCACTCTCTCTCTCTCTCTCTCTCTCTCTCTGTATCAGCCTGGTCTGGCTCATTCATAGCCACGAACACACTACAATTTGGCCTAGGCCAAGAGTAATAATACTACATTAAGGTTACAGATGGCGCTCGCACTTAAGAACTTAGCAGCCAAGACATGCAGCGTCGTAAAGTTCAAAGTATAAGAACTGGCTATAAGAACACATGGTATTAACAACAAGAACCCGCATTTGTGGTGTAACAACGCGCATACAGATAAGAACAGACGCCCAAAACGCGGCAGCTGCAAGAAAAGAACTCATGAAGGTGGTGAGGGGTGACTCACCGGGGTGTCCGGTGACCCCACCCACCGGCAGTTTCAGATCAGCGGCGAGGAGGGGAAATCCGTTTCAAATAACACTGGTGCGGAGGGGGTGGGGGGGTGGGGAGGGTTCTCATATGTTCTGCATATAGACTATAAATCCGTGGTCCGCTTTCCTTTCATCCTTTGAACGGATTGGATTTCGTGCTTGACGGTGTGACGAAACGACGAAAAATACATCCTAACGGGAGCGAGGGTGTATATTTCTCTGTCGCGGAGTCCTCTTGTTCTACTAATTAATTAAGGGAAAACGACACAACAGGGTATACCCTGGTCGAAAAGCGACACACCTGGGTACACAGTCATTAACAGCAGTAAATGCACTCATATCATTGGTCAGCGCCCAATTTCACCCCGGTGCGTCCGAAAAGGCGCAGGGTATACCCTGCCGTGACTACTTCTCTCAACAACTGTACCCTGTTTTCGGAAATGTACCCTGACCTGACGGGAAAAGAGACCCTTTCATCAATCATTTCCCCCGCAGGAATCTTCCCAACCAACTCCTTTTCCCCTCCAACCATGGTATACCAAACGGCGAATCTTCCCGCCGAATTAACAACCATGGCAACGGGGCAGGAATCAGTTTCCGCCCCTGCGAAACAACACCAACCATCAACTCTTGCGCTCGAAATCAACAATGGCCGGGCAACACCCCAGCACAATTGCCCCGTTTGAAAAACATGCACACACGCGTACAATACCCCGTGGACTACTGCTTGCTGCAGTCTATGGGCGAGATGCACGGGTCACGCTATGAAAGCGGACCGATTCAGCATGGTTGGCATGCATATATATGCATGTGTCAATGTGTGGCGCTGTGCTGGCGGCGAGCTCGCGCCCGCAGAGAGGGTGGAGGGGAGAGGCAGGACCAGCACACACAGACATGCCGTTGACATCAATCACGCACACACGAGTCTTATCCTTACTCTAGCAGCAGGACACTGCTGTGTCGTCCAACTCAATCACCCTCCCTGTCGGTAGAAAGAAGAGTGCTCGCGTTGTATTTCATCGGCTCATCCCGCTGAAGCCTGACGTCTTCTTACTACATTGATTGATTGGTCGGCTTGGTTGGCTGGTAAGCGTGACCGCTGCTGCTACAGCAGTAGTTCAAGCAAGAAACACATCGCAATTGAGACACAACAGACAACACACGCACGCACACACGACACATCGCAACTGAGACACAACCGACAACACACGCCCGCACAAATGCATATGCATGTCAACCATGCTGAATCGGTCTTGCTTTCATAGCGTGACCCGTGCATCTCGCACATAGACTGCAGCAAGCAGTAGTCCACGGGGTATTGTACGCGTGTGTGCATGTTTCCAAACGGAGCAATTGTGCTGGGGTGTTGCCGGGCCATTGTTGATTTCGAGCGCAAGAGTTGATGGTTGGTGTTGTTTCGCAGGGGCGGAAACTGATTCCTGCCCCGTTGCCATGGTTGTTAATTCGGCGGGAAGATTCGCCGTTTGGTATACCATGGTTGGAGGGGAAAAGGAGTTGGTTGGGAAGATTCCTGCGGGGGAAATGATTGATGAAAGGGTCTCTTTTCCCGTCAGGTCAGGGTACATTTCCGAAAACAGGGTACAGTTGCTGAGAAAAGTAGTCACGGCAGGGTATACCCTGCGCCTTTTCGGACGCACCGGGGTGAAATTGGGCGCTGACCAATGATATGAGTGCATTTACTGCTGTTAATGACTGTGTACCCAGGTGTGTCGCTTTTCGACCAGGGTATACACCCTGTTGTGTCGTTTTCCCTCAATTAAATAATATTGTACATCATCATCTCACACAAAAGATGGATGTACAGTATGCATACGCCAGTCAGTAGTGTGATATAGCCTTCCTGCGCTGGTTAGCGCCTGTCTGGTGGTTGGTTGTGGATGACGAAAAGATGCGTTTTGGAGCGAGCGATGACCGGCTGTGCTTCTTCACACGCCTGCCCATCCGCTGTGCTGCTGCTGCAGCAGTAGTCTATAACAATGCAGTCTACACACTGCTGCTGCTGTAGAGGTGATCGCCTCGTTTTCCCTATGGAGGCTGGCGAGAGACGCACAGTAAGTTCCTTGGACAAATGTGGTACTAGTATACCTACCTACAGTACACCAGTGTCGTGCTGTAGGAGTATGTGCTGCGGATGGATCTAACATAAGAGTATAATGAGTTCCTTGGACGGACGTGTGTGCTGTGCACAGGCGTGCATCTTGATACAGCAGCAGTAGTAGTAGGAATGGTAGTCTATGAATCTATCTTCTTCTATGCATAATACAACAGCATGTCCGCGTTCGAGCTGTACTGCTGTAGGTGCTGGTAGATGTTTAGGTTGTACTGCTGTAGTACATTGTGCGTATCACAAGATGATTGCTTGTGGGCATGACACGGGTTTTGACCGCCACAGTCGTCGATAGCCAAAGATGCGGGCATGCACAGATCGACCATTCGATGCTCGTTTTCGGGAGCTGCTTACTTTCCCGGCTGGCAGCGGAATGGGGGAGCAACGAGTTGCAGCGTTTCGCGAAAGAGGTGGGCAGAAGCGTTCGACATGCCTCTGGCGGGTGAAACGCGGTGGAAAAAAGGGAAGCGGAAGAGAGAAAGTCACCAAAATCAAAAATCAAGCTTGATGGTTATCAGGTCTAATTTGGCGCATATGGTTTCGTCGGTTACAAGCATCAACAGCCCCGCTTGAAGAGATGCGCAGGCAGCCCTTTCAATGCTCGTTGTCGGGAGATGCTTACTTTGCAAATTGGCAGCGAAATGATGCCGAAAGGCCCGTTGCAGCGTTTTGCGATGGAGCTATGCAGGGTTGCGGCAGATGGACCAACAGCACGAGGCCGGAGGGGGCATGTGACGGGAAATGTGTACCCCCGTGGTCCATGCGTTGCATTTTGCGTCTCCCCTTATAGCACAAACCTCGCTTGTATGTCGTGATCCGACCTACGGGGCGTACCAAGGGGTGAGCATCGAACACAGTGTAGTTCTAGCCCCACATAGATGTAAGACTTTGGCCGAGGGGCTGAGTATGTGTTGAGAAATTGCAAATTCTTGCGGGGTGATTGTTTTGTGGTATGAGAGGTCAGGGTAGGGATGACGACAAGCTGTCGCGGGCGGCGTGCAGGTCGGACGGCGTTGTAAATTGGCACGCACATGTGTGGACACAGTGTTTGAGTTGGTTGTCCGAGCTTCGTGGAATTTCGTGAGCAGGATGCGGAATTATCGATGCGACAAAAATTTCGTGTGCTGGGCAGC